TCCCTGCCCATGTCTGTAAGCAGCCCTACTGTTTAAAGAGTGCTTTATGCCTTTCATTGTGAAGGCTTAAACCCTTTCCAGAACTTTCTGACATTTTTTGCTATTGTGACTTTGAATGTTGTTGCCAGCTGTGCACACTTACAAAAGAATAGTGGGTTTCAAAATGGAATAATTTATCTCAGTGGGGACCAACCCTTTTAGCAGGTGTGCCAACAGTTAAATCCTGCACCCTTCCCAAATGCCATTCCAGTCCCCTTCCCCTGCCCAATCTGCTGGTACATTTTCTGCCCCCTACCCTATTTGCTGCTGCTCTCCCTGCTCCTGCTCCAAGTTACACAAGTGCTGCAGGCTGGTGACCCCTGAATTGGCTAACCAGTGCTTGTATATTTGTATGGCTGCAGGTGTCTCCCTCCCTCCCCCAAATAAATGAAATACTTAGGAAAAAACACCTCTTGGAAACATTCAAGTGACTATACTATAATGAAAAATTGTCTTTATTCTAGGGCTGTAAGTTAATCACAGTTAACATGTGCGATTAATGCATTAATCAGTTCTTGAGTTGATTTTTTTTTTAAGGTATTAATCATGCACATGGTTTTGGAGCCAGTACCTAGGCTCTGCTCCACCACCTCCAAACCACCCAGCAGGGCAGCAGTGGCAGCACAGAGGACCACAGGTCAGCCTGGACATGGGTGTGGGCATGGGCAGCTGCAGCCAGGGGGTGGCACACAGACACACATGAGCAGTCGTAGCCTGCACACTGCATGTAGAGCAGTGCCACACTGGTAAGTCTGTGGAGGGGGAGGGGTGGGAGGGAGAGGGAAGGGGTGGCAGGGCAGATCAAGGCCCCCATGTTGAGGGAGGGAGGGGGGCAGGTGCTGAAGTGAATGGGACCTCTGGGCCGCGGTGGGTCATGGGCCAGATGGTGGGAGGCTCATCCAGAGGCACGAGGGAGAGTGCAGCTCCCTGCTGCTACACACACCCCTGGAGGAGGCATAGGGGGCACATTCCCCCCGTATTTGTGCACGGGGCAAAGGCAGGCTGCCCTTGTGCCTTTGCCCCAGGAGCTGTGCACTGGCTGTGCCACACTTCCCCTGACTGCCCAGTGGTGAGATTCAACATGTTGTCACGCATTTCCCAGAGCAAAGGCAGCAGGGCACAGAGCCCCAGCCCACATGGGGCAGCCCAGTTCCACCCCACACACAAATCCGGGGGGCGTGTGCCCCCCATGCCTCCCCCAGGGGTGTGAGCACTGGTGGGGAGCTGCTCTTCCCCCCTGCCCCCCAAGATGAATCACCTGTGGCTCTGTCCCATGACCCACCCTGGCCGCAGATCTCATTCACCCTGATGTCTGCCACTGCCCTACTCCTTCCCTCATTGTGGGGGCCTCTATCTGCCCCCCTCCCAGCGCCTTCCCCTCCACAGACTTACTGGTGCAGCACTCTCTGTGTGTCTGTCCCTCACTCCCAAGCCACAGCCCTGCTGAGGCCCCTCACTCCTGCCCCATAGAACCATTGCATCATGTCAGGGTGTGTGAGCACCCCCCCCTCCCCAGACTTCAAACCCCACACACACCCCCATAGTCCCCCATACCTTCACAAATTCCTCCCCCCACACACACTCCACACCCACCCGCAGCCATACAAAATACCTGCATAATTTTGTATAATTCTGAGTTTTTAGCAGTGCAATTCAAAATTGCAGTTAATTGCAACTAATTTTTTTAATTGCGCAACTAATTGCGATCAAGTTTTTAAATTGTTTGACAGCCCTCTTTATTTTTTACTTTTCATTTAACCTCCCTCCCTCCCCCACCCCCCAAAAAATCTGGCTTTTAATGTAAACTAAGGATATAAAAAAGACGGGAATTGCATCATTTAAAGCCCATGTTTTGAGGTTAGCGACATAAACCTCAAGTCTAGATTATACTCTGTAAGCAAGTCTGGCAAAAGAGCTGAATCCTAGCAACTGTTTTCAGGAGTGGTTTTCTAAAGGAAAGGAAAGTGATTGCTTTACAAAAACATTGTCCAGTGTAATAATTTGTGCCACACAGGGAATTGCTTTCACACTAGGTCATTCAAGAGAGATTTCAGTGGAATGTGAACAGTCAGTGCGCGCAGCAAAACAAAGCAACCATGATTTAATCCTGCTGCCTCGTTAATTTTTATAGTATATTTGCATCAGTGGTTAGAATTCGGTGCCTGCTAAGCAGAAAGCATAGAGAAAATAGATCAGATGACTTTTGAAAAGTTAGAAAATTATGCATCTGTTTACTGCATAAATGTTGAGGAGATTATAACTAGACTCAGAAATAATTGAATGGAATGGCTATTTCTACATAGGAAGATTTTGTTATAATAGGATTTTAGTAAATTATATAAAAACTGTCCATTTTTCTTTTGCAACTCCAGGTTGTTCATTAGGAACCTTTTGAGGAAGACTAAACCAGACCAATTATGCATTCATGAGCAGGAAGCTCAGGGCTTCACTTGGCTAACCAAAGGCTGATAACTGAATGTAGCATCAAGTTACCTTCCCAAAGCTACAGCATAATGGTGAAAACAATAGAGCTTCCAACACATTTCAGTAAGCCTAGCACTGCTCTTTAAACTCCTGCAGGCAAAATGATGGACTTAAAATAACTGCACCCTTTATTCTGTTAGGTAATAGTAGACCTATATAGTGTATGACACGTCATGTTGACTGGTATAACACAGAGCTCTGTACAGCTAACAAACAGCAGACGGATCCTATTTCAAAGTTATCTTTAATGTAAGAAAAAGAAACATTTGTGATTGTTAGTATTACAATAAGGCTACTGAATGATCAAGTCTGTTGCCTAAATCATTGAAATCATATAAGGAAATCAAAGCCTTAGGAAGACCAAATGCAGGCAAAAAGCAAACCAGACCAAAATTTATGCATGTTTATATATGTACTATAACTCTTGGATACAAAAGTTCCATTGTAAGCTTTACTATAGAATCTAGTGTAACCTGAACCAAGGGAAAAGCTGACTTTGAAAAATACACTACAAATAAAGAGCCCAATCCTGCAACCACTGCTTCACATGAATAGCTCCCATTGAAGTCAATAGAACAAAACGTACAAATAGGGGCGACTCACTTAAAACAGGGTAAATTAGCCATGGTAGCATGGCTAGATTGCTCGCTCACTGCACTGAGGGATTGGAATTAAAGCTGGGGAAATTTGTTCAAAATACTTTCAAACTAGTTCGAAAACAGTTCTTTATTAGGTTGCTGATATATAGGTGTTTCCCTTGAGGCAGGAAAGGGCTCTGCTTTGCTCCATGTGACAATGCCATGCAAAACACCTTTCTCTGCACTCAGAAAGGCTCATTGAAAGTAGATTAAGCCACGACTAACTTTTTACCTTGCCCAGGACAGAGGTCCCAATCCTGATCTTAGAAACTAGTTGCAAAAAATCCCACTGATACCAGCGGTGCCAGCTCTGTGCTAGAGCACTCTGCCTGAGTAGTTTTACATTAAATGGGGACTTGTTCATTCAAAGTCCCTGAAGCTTCTAATATACAGTTAAAAACTATATTCTGAATAGCAGTTTGTTTTCTAAATACACTGTCCTCAGAGGAAGGAACACTAGCCGGCACATAAACTGTGCGCACTCATTCAAGGCTCCTTAACTTTAATGATTACTTTAAGCAGGACCTATGTGCAACAGAAAAAGAATTGTTGGAAAGGGCCCAAGATATACTATCCAGACACCCTCCAGTAGGGTAGTTTTGTGAAATCAAGTAGCATAAGTGGAATTAGAACTGCTATTGTCCTTTTAATAAAACTGAAATGGATATTAAATGTGTAACCCCCCTTACTTCCCTTCCTTTTTAAATAAAGACATTTTGTTCTTTTTCCAGGCATTACAGGAATGGAGTATAAGTTACCAGATCATTTTTCTAAATCATTGGATCTGTCTGATAAAACTCAAGACAGCTTTAAATGTGCTTAAAGCTATTAAAGCAAAACCTAGCCATCAGCTATTTTATGGCTAAGAACAGGCCATCAACAGATCAAAGCAAGTACTTAAAGTTCAAGTCCTCGCATTCAATGGGGGTCTGTTGTTTCAGCCTAACTATTGTCACTATTTTCATACAAGCACTATTTTTAAAGAAAAAGCATTTCCAGGAAGAGATGCAGCCCTGTAAAGAGTGATATATTCTACCTTCATATTTTCCTCTAGAGCTCACAGGGAGAAACAGAGGTGAGGAAGGAGAACACATTCATGATACATACAAACTGTAAGTTTTGATTGCTTTGTAGCATACTCAGTGTACTGACAAAGTAAGAACTCAACACAAAGGCTTATCAGTAGCTATTACTTTCTCAGAAATGTGGACTGTTATATCACATCTTATCAGCTAGTTATTTCTCCCCAAAAGGAGGAAAAAAAAAAAACCAAACAAAAAGCCTTTCTTCATGAATAAAGGGTGGGAGGGAAATGTTGTAATGATATTTAATCTCACACACTCTGAAAATAATGAATGGGCCACTTTAGAATTTGCGAAAGTAATTATTTCTGGTTTTTAAAACCATAGTGACCTCTAGCTTTTGGAATAATATTTCACACATATTTCATTGCAAAAGCATCAAACCTTGTTATAATGTGCGTGAGTTTAATGCCTAAATAAACCCCTTGCTAATATCAGTAGAAAGCTTTGTTGTGGTCCCTAAAAAAACAGAATCAAGAAACTTCATATTAAAATAAACAAGTTTATGGTTTTCTATGATTCTAAGTTTAGATGTTGGAGGTGATATCATCACAATACAGGAAACTGTGAAGCCAGTAGAGGAAAGCTTTAGAAAGGAGGAATTAAAATTATTAGATAAAATCTACTATAGGTAATCTCTATGCAGTAGCATTAAAGAGCTAGTTCACTAATATTTTTAAAACAGAATTCAAATTATACTGAATTAAAAGGGAGAGGTGAGAGTTGGTGGAAGAAATAAAAATAATAACACTACATGTCTAGACCTTTGAAGTTTTTAATCACATATATGGTCTTGCTTGGCCAGTTTATTTATATTGTGCAGGTGAGTTACAAGGTTTTTGAGAAGAATTTTCTGGAAGTGTGGCTGAAGTGCAGTCCCTGCTCCTTTTATTTACAATTCATGTCCAATACTTAATCAAAGCATAATTACAGACACAAAAAATACAATCATTACAGTGAACTGATACAAAATATAGGCATAAGGAGATGTCCATACACACTCAATGACAGTAATTTACACTATTTTGCCACTACTGTTTGCATGTCTGGGTACGTAGTCAAGGTAACTGTCAAGTAAGATGTTAATTGTTTGAAAGTAATGAAGGCTCATAAAGGGCTGATAAGCTTTCATTGTGGGCAATATGAATAATCATGTGATCACATTTACACTATTGACTTGCTTTTAACAGATTTTAGCATCAATGTAGTTTGTTTTTTCCTCCCTCAATTAAGCTTGCTTTAGTTTGAGTATGGCACTCTTATCCAAAAGATGTGATAATACAGAAACAAGTTGTGAAAGTATCACTTTGGATTCATAACATTTTAAAAAATGTATTTACAGAAGCAATATAAAATTTTTTATAACTGAATGATTCAATTAGATTCCAGTCTTCATGTTTCCAAAGCACACCCAATTATATTGTTTTGTATTTTTGGCTTTCAAAGCTTCTTCCTCCCATCCTCCCAAATATTAGCTAGCCTTTTACTTTAAAATCACAATAGTTAAGTCTTGAAAACAAAAATAGTTTTCAGTTTGTACCAGAAAGCAGCATTTAAAATTACTCAAAGATCCCACAGATATTTCAGCATTAAAAGCTGGTTCTAGGAAGAAAAAGAGGTATGGGGAAGGGGGGGGCAGGGGCCAGAAAGAGAAGGGAGCCAAAGAAGGAATGAAAACATTCATAGAATTTAAAGGGAATGCTTCTCCCAAGACTATTGTATGGGAGTGTTAACAAAATGCTCCTGGTAACTTCTCCACAGCCCCAATTCATCCTCCTCCTGGAACTTGCTACCTCCCCATAGTTAATAATTCAACTCTTAAAACTAACCCTCCCCCCCAATGATTTCTAAGTACTTTTAAACTATTCCGGACTATATAGGCATTCAATTAAGATTGCTGGAATTTAATGAGAGGATATTGTTTTACAACATTTGCAATTCTTTTATCCTCATGGCAAATGCGTACAATGCAAACTAAAAGGATTCCTTGTTGGGGTTATTAATATTTATCTGTTTCTCTTGAATACTTTCCTTACTACTGTAGATAAGTAAACAGGATCATGTAAGCTGTTTTTATTCTTTAGTGGTTTTGTGAGCTTTGCAACTTTTGTATTTAAAATTCAAAATAAAAAGCTCTATGAAGTTGCGGGTTTTTTTTTTAATTTGGCTGAATCTGTCACCCACACCTACTACATGGCGTTTTCATATCTTCTCATTTTTAAAAGATCAGGGAATGGAAGCATCATCTCTTTGCTTCCATCTTGTATACAGATTCCAGCTGGCTATGCTCTGGAGCTCATCATTTTTCCTCTGGCTGAAGGTGGTCATATCCTTTTCACATCAGTCAGTGTTGGAACATCAGCAACTTTTGCACAATTCTCTAGATCAGATTGATACTGATTTAATGCAGGGAATGGAACCAAGTCAAATTTGATGTTTTCATGCAGGCTTTGAAGATCTGTAGCCATCACCAATGATTCAGGGACTTGGGTGAGGAGTAGTCATTGTTTTCCAGCCAGAGTCTTTCAGCAGCAGAGGTGCAGAAGAGAAATTGAGACGATGAGGAGACTTGTGGTTGACTGAAGGCAATTTCCATGTCCTGGGGGAGTGGTATTATTGTTCAGTGAATTTGTGATGGCTGGCAATGAAGTGGAACTTGCTGCAGAATTATTTGAAGGTGCTGGACTTGTTCCATTAGAGTCAGAGTAAATCTAAAATATGCAACAAAATTATATTAAAGGCCATAATCAAATCTTAGTCATTTAGGGTTACAATTTAACATCTTGTGTGACACTTTGAATCCCTAGTGACAAACATTACACTATTGTTTACAACCTTCATCATTTGGTTAATGACAAGGGACAACTTGACTTACATTGAGGGGATACATAAAGGAAGCCGATCCTGACTCTTTGTTATGTTCTACTCCTTGCTAAAACTATACTGAGAACAAAAACAGTGCTACTAATCCCACCTTCATGTGTGGGCAAATGCATGCACACCTACCCTCTCTAAAATCAGAGAGGCAACATCAAGTAAAGCTTCCAGATTAAATTTTTCTTAAGTGAACCCCAAAACTAACCAAAAAACTTATTTTTCTTTTGTCCTGTTCACTCTCCTTGAATACTCCCATAGGGATAAATATTAGGACAAGCAAAGTAGGATTGCCTACATTTATTCTTTCTTTAATGAAGTTTCTCTCCACCCCCACCACTACTCATATTGAAATCTCTTTGCAGGAGTTTCAGCAAAACTAAATTCCAGCTCCTCTGGAATTCAGTTTTGCTAAAGGATAGAGATTTTATATTAACTGCCCAAATTAAAATATGCCTTTGAAGCAGCACAAAGAAAAATGCAAACAATGAGGGGGAGAGAGAGAGGGAATGATTGATTAATTACCTCTTGCATTGATTTTTGTGGCATGCTTTTAGAAAAGCAGTCAAGGTCAATTCAGATACCTTTAATGTTTTAGATTCCTTGTTCTGGTTCTACAGCTTGGTGGTTGCCAAACAGAACAATGGTACTATATTGATAGTATAGCATAACCTGTTGTTGTTGCCATTTTGAAGCACGCAAAGAAGATATTCAGAACATTACGGGCAGGTAACAAGCTCTACACTACTACGTCAACTCTTCATATTTCCATTATAAGCTTCTAATATCTGGGATAGGAACCTTGCATTTTGCCCATAGGTATACTTGAAACTTTTCAGAGCTTAATTCATCCATCTATTTCCCCCCCGTAATTACTTGCAAAACCCATCAAACTCCATCTTAGTTCCACAGAAGTGGTTTTGAATTCTGCAAGCTCCAGGTGAATAGAAATCCTGAGACAGATCCAAGTAAGTTTTAAAACATAGGATTTTAGAGACCCAAATAGGATAATGTCTTCAGGCTCATGGGTTCAGATTTCTGGTACCATCCAGAACATGCCAGGTATTTTCCAAACAGGAACAAAAAACAAAAACAAGAAAGAAAAGAAAAGAAAAAGGGAAGGTGGGGGGGGGAGGAAGAGCCCCAGCATTTAGAACTGATGTCAACTTTGATTTTATCCTCATGTTACTTTTTCTGTTGAATACCTCCTTAGTGTTGGAGATAAGGACAGACTCCTGTAAGCTTTTTTTTTTTTTTTTTTTTTGGGGGGGGGGGGGTATTTTTTTTAGTGGTTTTGTGAGCTCTTGGCCACACTGACGTATTTAAAATTCAGAGTCAAAGCCTGTTTCATAGGAAATGCCACAAAAACCCTATCTGTATCATGGAGCCCATCAAGCGGGAGGCTGAAAAAAGACAAAGCTACGGTAGCTGGGAGTAGCAGAAGAGGCACGGGGTGGATTAGGCATTAGAGGAGCAATTCTATACAAACCAAAGAGCAGCAGCAGGAGATAAGGGCTATTTACAGGGGTCTGCATTTCACCCTAGTTGCATGCAACTGGAGGGAGGGGAAGGGGGAATAGCTAATCACGCCTACGTTTTTAGACTTGGAAAGCCTTTTGCAGAGGGAAAAGGGCTTGCTTTTTTTAAATGTGGTTTCGAACCCTGAAAGCTGAGGTTCAGCTCAGTTCTGGGAGAAGGAGGTTTAAGAGTGGGAAGAGGGAAGGACAGTCTCCTGGAGCTGGGGAGCTTCCGAGATCTCTCTGCAGCCTGCACAAGCGTCCCCCACCCTTGTTACCAGTCAAGGAATCATAGAAAGTTGGGTTGGAGGGGACCTCAGGAGGGCACCTAGTCCAGCCCCCTGCTCAGAGCAGGACCATCCTCAGCTACATCATCCCAGCCAGGGCTTTGTCTACCCGGGCATTAAAGACCTCCGAGGACGGAGACTCCAGCACCGCTCCGGGGAGCCTGTCCCGTGCTTCGCTGCCTGAGAGCTCTTCCTAACACCCAACCTCAACGTCCCTTGCTGCCACTGGAGCCCCGCGCTCCTTGTGTCACCGGCCACCACCGAGACCAGCGGAGCCCTGTCCTCTTAGGACCCGCCTCAGTCTCCGTCCCCTCCAGGCTAAAGCAGCCCCGACCCGTCCCTCGCCCTCCGCGGGGCAGCAGCACCGAGCTGGTGGCAGCGGCGCGGGCGCTTTGTCCCCAGGCAGCTGGCGGGCCGGCTCCCAGCGCCCCTCGGCCCGGCCCGGGCTGCGCGGGGGGACGGGGCGCG